ATTCGTTTTCTTGATTCAAATTTCGTTTGTTCTCTTACCTTAATATTTTTTTTTCTGACTTTTATTCTTGTTTAGTGACTTTACTGCCTTGCTTGGGGTAATTTTGTTTAAAAACAAAAGATTATCTATATGCAGATTGGAAATGTCTTTAAACCCATAAAACAGGATTAGCCAACAAGGATTTTTCAAAAAAGGAGTTTTGTAGGGGCATGACTTTATCCAACCGATAATTAATTTTCCTTTGTATTTACCCCCCCCACACACACACACACATAACTCTTCACAGAAAAATAATTTTCTCGACTTCCTATCTAATGTTTCCATCTCATTATTTTCGTCCAGAATAGTGTCAAATCAAATTTAAGATTGTCATATTGTAGCGATTTAAAGAAAACCTTTTCTGAAACTCTTCCCTGTCCTCCGTTTGAAGAAAGTGTGTAATGGGAAGATTGAGAAAACCCTACTTCATATTTTCATCTTTTTCCAACGCAGCTCAATTTTTGTTAAGCTTTAATAAATCTTTCCAAAATATTAAATACTAGCTTAAAAGCCGCCCTATCGGGCAGCAGTTAAGCTAGCTCCTGCAGAGGGCTCTTGATTTGGGCTTTCGGCTTGTTCTAAAGTTTGAGAGTCCATAAGCCTTTGCATATTGTCAGCATTGGAAGCTCTACTGGCTGCCGTTTGATCTGAGTTTTCATTTGCATAGGACTTTCTTTTCCTCGCTGCAACCTTGGCACGTTCAGATTGCAATCTGAACCTCTGTTGGCTGAGATGTCTTTTTGCGAGGCATATTGCTGCCGTAGCGATAAGCAACTATAAACTATAGAAAAGCTCAAAATTGATCACTGCATTTAAGTATTGCAATTAATATTTAAGCTTACCTTTTTAAAAGTTCAACGATAATTCTTCTGCTACCACTTAATTTAGACATTTTGATGTACATAGGTCCTTACTTTTCGTACAAACAATTTTATTTCATGGGTGACTTTCGCTGGATTTCGCAATTAATTTCAATTATTCCCAAGTTTATTTCCAAGTTATAAAAATTGTTATCGTACAAAAAATTCGTCGCAAAAAGAAAGTCGAAAACAATGGCAGTAATAAAAACGGGAGTCCAAAATTTCAGGATTGCACGGCCGGATCCGGTCCGGAATATTTTTAATTTGCTCAGTCTGCCTGATTCCAAAATGGTAGATGTTGTGTTACAGCCTCTAGGAGTAAATTTCAAAAAGTGTGACACACTGATATTGGCATTTATTTATAGATTTGAATACCCCCACCCCCAAAACGATAAACTACACCCGCGTCCTGGGTAAGACGATAAACTAAGTCCAACAGGAACCACCTCTTAATTGCTGGTGTTCCCAGATTCACCCTGACCCGGGGTGGTAGCACCTGTTAGGGTTCCAACTATGGGTAAATAATTACCCCCTCCAAAAAAAAAAACTGGGACCTAAACACTATGTAAGTGTAAAAAATAGGTTTTAATACCAAAAATATTTTGTAAAATTAAATAAATACCAGAAATAAACATTTTGTCGGCATTAAATAACCCATTACGGTTGATATGCCGTAAAACAAACCAAACTAGCAATACATTTTTGAAGGAAAAAATATTTTCAGTAATACTTCTTTAAAAATAAAGAAATAAGCTACCAGCGATAAAAATCTTGTCGGCATTAAATAATCCATTGAGGTTGATATGCCGTAACACCCTCCCTGCAAAAAATGCATAAACAGGGACACAAGCTAAGGAAGCGTGTAAAGTATAAAAAAATCTAAACCTTTCTTCTCTCTCACCAAGAAAAGAGTGCCTCCTTTTTAACGATTACCAAAAAAAAAAATAGATGCTAAATATTTTCCTTAGATTAAGACGTTCCTACTTTGATGCATTAGTGCATTTGCGTCATGTTACTTCTCACAATAACTTACTCTAGCGGTCCAAGGCTAATTTTCTACGAACAGTGCGGACCTTCACATTTTTTTTTTATTGTGCAAACCTGCTATAGACAGCTTTTCGTTGTTCATAGCGCTTAGGAAACTCGGCTTAGTCTAACAGAATGTCGCAATAGAACAGCGAGTGACAATTGAACTTCTGAACAATGCTTTGCGAGACAATCTTACAAACCATCAATCGGTTAGGAGACTGTTTTTGTTAAGCGTATCTCTGGCGCAAAGTCAATAAGCTACTGTTTAGTGAACTCTAGATTTGACCTTAAATCGTTGGCTGTTATCGTTCGTGTTTATCAATTGACATCACTAAAGGTCGTCACAAAGAAATAACAAATTTGTAAGTGGCAGAACTGAGTGTAATGTCCATATTCTGAGGACACAGCCAATGCTCGTGACCATTATATATTTTTTTTTTAAATTCAGAACACCCGTCAAATACCTCCAGTCTTTTTGTTTTTGTACATGTTAAATTAAAATTGCTCGTATTTTATGACGCCATCATTTTTACATCGCAAAACAATATCAAACGAATTAAATTCTTGCTTTTTGGCTGAATCAGTTGAGCAGTTTATGCTAGTGCCAGTAGTTGGTTTTCGAATCCAGGTAAAAACAGATTTGAAATGCCGATTTTCAAAGAAACAGCTTACCGTAGTGCGATGGATAGTAAATTTGTCTCGCCCTGTTATGAGCTTAGTTGATAACTTGTTTTACGGTTGTACCCTAAGTTGGAAGGCAATGCCTAGCTAATGGAGTTATTTTTTTTCTTCATAAAATTAATTTTTAATTTTCATGTTTTCGAGAGTACGCATGGACACGGTTTTGTCAGATTAGGTAGGTGAGAAATTTTAAGGAGAGCAGACACTGAACAGATGTTTCTTAAAACGTAATTTCCCCTATGGTCATAGTAAGGGGCGACTTTAGATTAGTGAATGACTTCTGAGCATTTCGTTAATCATTGATCTGCAACAGGAATCCTATTGAACGCGAGCCGGACTCCTCTGCGTGGCGTTTGAACGAGAGCCGGACTCCTCTGCGTGGCGTTTGAACGAGAGCCGGACTCCTCTGCGTGGCGTTTGAACGAGAGCCGGACTCCTCTGCGTGGCGTTTGAACGAGAGCCGGACTCCTCTGCGTGGCGTTTGAACGAGAGCCGGACTCCTCTGCGTGGCGTTTGAACGAGCCGGACTCCTCTGCGTGGCGTTTGAACGAGAGCCGGACTCCTCTGCGTGGCGTTTGAACGAGCCGGACTCCGGACTCCCTCTGCGTGGCGTTTGAACGAGAGCCGGACTCCTCTGCGTGGCGTTTGAACGAGAGCCGGACTCCTCTGCGTGGCGTTTGAACGAGAGCGGACTCCTCTGCGTGGCGTTTGAACGAGAGCCGGACTCCTCTGCGTGGCGTTTGAACGAGAGCCGGACTCCTCTGCGTGGCGTTTGAACGAGAGCCGGACTCCTCTGCGTGGCGTTTGAACGAGAGCCGGACTCCTCTGCGTGGCGTTTGAACGAGAGGACTCCTCTGCGTGGCGTTTGAACGAGAGCCGGACTCCTCTGCGTGGCGTTTGAACGAGAGCCGGACTCCTCTGCGTGGCGTTTGAACGAGAGCCGGACTCCTCTGCGTGGCGTTTGAACGAGCCGGACTCCTCTGCGTGGCGTTTGAACGAGAGCCGGACTCCTCTGCGTGGCGTTTGAACGAGAGCCGGACTCCTCTGCGTGGCGTTTGAACGAGAGCCGGACTCCTCTCTCTCATATAGTTATGCTACACGAATTTACTCGAACTCTTAAATTTATCTCAGTTGTACCCGCCGGGTAGTTTGTTTTTTTTTTTTTTGTTTTATTTTTTATTTTTTTTTAGTTCAGTCCTCTACATTTCTAGACGCACGTTAGATGCTTTGAACTTCCTGTCTGTTTCTAGTGAAGCTTTTTCTCGCCTTCTAGTATCAAATTGTGTCCGAGGCCAGATCTGATAAATTTTTTAAAATTTTTCAGGCCCACTAATTTACTCGGACGACTGACAAACAATACAAGATTACCAGTCGAAGAAATTCTATGTATAATTACAATAATAATAATTCATCTCAAAAATTTAGACAAAAAGCGATCTTTGTCTCGCCATTCTAAATTAAATTCAACAGAAGATATCAAAGTGTTTTGCTTCATGGCGGTTTTCATAGTTCAAAGGTGAAAATTTTTCTTTCTTTTCTTTACTGTTTTCTTTTTCTTTTTTTTCCTTCTTTCCATTCTTTCTTTTTCCATTCCTTAAAATGTCCTGTAAACAATAGAGCCACAGACTCGGCACGCTAGGCATTGCTGCCGTTATATTCTATTCGTTTTGATGGCATGGGGTAACTATATTCAGGTAGGGTGAAAAATCCGTCTGCATTACTATTTAACCCATGGCTAAGGGGAGAAGAGATTAGTTCAAAATTTCTGAAGGGAATTTGCGCCACGAACTTAATTTGACGATTTCTTTATCCGAGCCGCCTATCCATTGCACAGGCTGCACCTTCGCCCCATGACATAGTTCAGTCATTGTGTGTCAAATCAACAAGTGTCTGACTATCACCGACACAGATCTTGTTTCAAATGTGGTACATTTACAAAGCTTCATGATAGAAATTAAATGGTACCTATTTTACGTCTCTAGATCAACGGGTTCTCGAGATATGATCCTTTGACCTTTGCCAAAATGGAAATTTTGGAAAATAGTCACAAAGTTTAAATATCATTATCGCATGTTTTTTGTTTTTTTTCAACTCACAAATCTAAATTATATACCATATTAAAGTAATTGGATAGACCTAAAAGGTGATCTGTTTATTTTATTTTATTTTTTATTTTTTTTCGTTTAAAGGTCGCATAAAATAATTTGACTTTGACCTTAACTATTAACCTTTTAATTTCTCAAAAAAAAACGTATCTTTAAATTTGACAACAGTACAAATTTTTCGTGGTGGTCTTTTAACTGTGGCCTGAATTACAAGGGTTTGGACCAAATTCAAAATGGTGGATTTTGATATTTGCCACTATATGCTAACATTTTCATATCTCCCAATATGGCCAAGTTGTATATCTTTAGAAAGCTCTTTAAATGCTGATTCACATTATCATAAAAATCAAGAGTATTTGGTTAACTGTTATACAAAAATAGATTTTTATATGAAAATAATTATTTAAAATGCCATAATGTTAAGATAACTTGAAATATGCAACAAATGATGTTAATGGCTAACAAATGTTTGTTGACGTTTGAGAAGGTATGCTAAATGCACAAAACAATCAAATTTTTAGTGTTTTTATATATATTTACAGATCGCGACATCTATCAAAGAGATGAAATTTAAATTTTTATTATTGCATTATTCCAAAATTTTAACACATCAGCAGATAGCTATTAATGTCAACAACTGATCACAAACAGTTATTAATTAAAAAAATTAGTAATTAATGTATAATATTATCCATAACTAGATTGTCGTTAAATTAAATCATAAATACGTAAAAAAATACGTATATTGTCGAAAATTCCTTTTTTCAAAATATAGCTATTTGTGCTATGTTATAAGGCTTATTGCCTAAACAACAATAATAATTTTTTTTAAACATTAAAGTATACTCTAATAGCTGCTGCGATCTGTTAAAAAAATTAATTTTGGATCTGCAAAAGTGATACATTAAAATGAATATTTAAAAAAAAGATTCCAAACATTTGAAAAAAAAAACTGATGATCAAATCCGTATTGATTTGATACGGTACGACCCTGTTTCTTAGATGAAACTAATACGTGCATAAATGCAAAAGAAATGCAGTTATACGTTTTTACTCTATCTAATGAGTATATTAAAACAGGCATAATGAGAATTTCTTTTGGCCACATTAATGAAGTGTCAGTTTGATACACACATGAAAACCAGGCATTTTGCCCAACACTCTACCGGGAAAGAAAAATGATTATCCGTGCTGTCTGTAAAGAAAGAGGTACACTGAATGAAAGATGGTGATATGTTTGGTGCATAGTCATTTATAGTCTGTGCTGGATTTGGTTAACATTATAGACACAATATTTGGCAAACACCTCATCCCGACAGTGACAGTGTCTATAAATATCTGATGTTATTTTTAATTCAGATACAGGAAAGGAAACAAAAGTACTGGCGTCGATGTCATATTGAATTTTTAAGAAACTGAAACGACCTTTATAGTCAATACTATAAAGTGTGTTCGTTTTTAGCACGTCAATACAATCAAAATGGATTGCTATCCTTATTCGTTTTTGTTTGGTTTTGTTGTTTTTTTTAATTTCAATATCTCTTAATGATAGCTCAGGTTTCGTTTTGTTTGGAACATGCACATAAGAAACACAACATCCATTTTTTTTTTTTTTTTTTTTTTTTTTTTTTTTTATGTATGATTATAGTTTAATTTAGTATTCTTTCAGTTTTTCATTGTTTTCATAACCATCAAGCTCAAATTATTAATGATCGTTCATTCACTTGTTTCTGGAAATCTAGCAGAAAATCCATGAAATGCACTCTTGTAACCATCGTGAAATATCTAATGACCTAAGATATCTATTATGCGGGAGTGTCTTTTTAAAATATTTGTCTGCCTTTTCTGAGATTAAAACAAGCCTTAATTTCGTGCTTGACAACTCTTTAAATGATTTTCCAACCCCACTTTTGTTGACAACTCCCCGTTTCTTGCATACTGGGAAAATGCCGCCCCTCCCCACTTATTTGTATTAGGCACATCAGAATATTATGGTTGTCTTCAGCGGCAAACAAAACGACGGATAGGAAGATTGCACCATTCATCTAAATTGGGAGGCCTTGTATACAAAAAAAGAAAAAAAAATTCAAGACTTAAAACTAACATCTACTACAAGTATTGGTTGAAAATATGCAACTACCTCACCCATTAAGCAATCCTGATAGAATCTCATGTCATGTCACAATAAGAAAGATTTTATTTTTCAATTCTATGGATATAACTAAAGACCTTAGATCTCTTCATAGGACTACTTTGACTTAGATTTACAACGCCAGTTTCACCAGAGTCTGTTCGAAACGTATGTAGATATTTTTTTAAATTATTTACATTGTTCAGGTCCTCATATTTATTGTCATATTCACGACGCTTCAGTCGTTTACGCTCCGGCCTTCTTCAGGTGATTGGAATTTCGAGCTGAACCTTTTATTTCGTCCACAGGGATAGTTTGTTCTAGTTTTACCTGCCATGTCTTTTCCGGATATGTTATCTCCCTTTAGCTCAACACTCCAAGTTTTTGTTCACCACTGCAGTAGCCAGGTATTGAACTCTCAACGCTTTAGGTCAAGTCATGGGATCAAACCAGCGCTTTTATCCACTGGCCATGTGTCCTTGAGGCATTGTACGTGGAACCAGAACAATCTCTGTTGGCGAAATAAAGGATTCAGTTCAAAATTCCAATCGCCTAAAGAAAGCCGGAGCGTACAACGGCCGAAACAATTACAATACCTCATCTCAGAACTATAGAAAGATATTTTACATTTATAAATTTAAAAGTTTCAATTAATAACACTTGATTTTCATCAGGTTTATAGTCTATGCTAGTTCATATTCAATCTCCTACCTAAATATTAAGAAAAATTTAGACGCTACACATAACTTTAGTCTTAGCCGTTTGGCGATAGCGAAGCTATTAATGCCACTATAAAAACCAGGTATTAATTATGTATTAATTATAGATATTATAAATGTATTAATTATAAACCTGGCATTAATTATAGGTTTTAAAATAACTATTGTTATTATTTATAATATTTATATGTGAATTATTGCCCTCCTCTTTATTATCACAACGTTTCGATTGTTGTGCCCTCCGACCTTCATCAGTTGTATGTCGATCCAGGTAACCTACAGTACTGAACCTTTTATTTAGTCTGCGAAGGTAAACTTTTCTCGTTCCACTATCAATGTCTAGGGTTATCTTATATTCTTATTTTTAGTCCTGCCCAGTAATGAGGGATTGATCTCACAATAACTATATCACCAAATTCACGATTCAACGCTTTCATCCACTAGGCTATTGTCCTTTGGGACAATTTTCTGTGAAGATCTTAGATCTTATACCTAACCTGCCTGCTACTGAAGCTTGCCATGCTTGAATTTTCTTTTGCTATTCTCCTGCAGTCAAGCCTGACAAACAGCAACAGCTGCAGTCATAACAACAACAACGATGAGGACAATAGTCCGCATATAACTAGCATAAATAACTCCTCATCCCCAAAATTTAGACGGAAATTAACAGGTATTAATTCTAGCTACCCCATTAAAGCCCAAAATCAAACGAGTTAAATGGTAGAAGAATAATGAATTAATAATTTTAAAATGTGTATTCATAGAATGACTGGGTCTGCTATATCTTATTTAGTGAATAGGCTCCTTTCTTTAATCGTTCTTAATGGATGCATTCCATTCTATATTCATATTCCATTCGTATATAATGTCATGCATGGCCGGATCGATAAGTTCATAGTTATTAACTGAATTTTTAATCTGAAATGTCCAGTGTATAATGTTCGATCTCAGCTTAATTTTTGTCCGAACGTCTAAAATGAAGAATTATTAAACACTGGTTTAATTGGACTAGTATACTTATCTTAATTGTTACAATCTCTACGTTACAACCATTGCACTCTCTGGTCGCCTTCAGATATCTCATAGCTTATTCAAGGGATCGGGTAGAAATCCTCAAAATGTTACCAACTCAGACACCTGACGGAAGCCAAAGGTTACAACGGCCAAAACCTGATGATAATAAGGACACTAGTCCGAGTGAATAGGTTTAATGTTAACAGCTATACAAACGAAAAAGTAAATATTGGAAAATAAATATTTGTGTAAAAATGTTTACGGATATTCTCTCTCTCTCTCTCCATATCTCTCTCTCTCCATATCTCTCTCTCTCTCCATATCTCTCTCTCCATATCTCTCTCTCTCTCTCCATATCTCTCTCTTTCTCTCTCTCCATATCTCTCTCTCTCTCCATATCTCTCTCTCTCTCTCCATATCTCTCTCTATATCTCTCTCTCCATCCATATCTCTCTCTCTCTCTATATATATATATATATATATATATATATATATATATATATATATATATATATATATCCATATCTCCATATCTCCATTCCAAGTGTGCTACTTATGAGCACTACTGTGGCTTTAATGTCTCCGTGATCGATTTGAATGTATAAGTAGAAGAATGTATTTTCTGTTTTCCACAACAGCTTTTAAGTTGTGTTCATAAAATTTCGGTTATATTTAACCGTGAAAATTTCATGGTCTTCCTATTTGAATTTTCTTTTGAATCTTAAGTTAATGATTGAAAAATATCCTTGCTAGTCCCACAACTATAAAATACTCGTAGAAATTCCACTGTCACCTCGTTAAATATATGAGTTTAAAAACTTATTTAATGACCTGCATTCCCATATTTTGCTAAGTGGATATAAATGCAGAGTTGAAATTGGCATGTTTTTCCATTTCACTAAATCGGACGTTTAACACGGCAGTGTTACTGCTTTGCTTTCTTTCTTCTTCACTTCAAAACAAACAGCGTCTCTGGCATGTCCTTCCTCGTGATCAAAACTGAATAGTCCGTTATTAATGGGGTATTGGCAGCGAGAAAGTAAAATATCCAGATTAAAAAGTATACTGAATCATCGATTGTCAGAAAGTCAATGAGCCTAACAGTGTACTTGAAAAATCAATTTTCCTGAAAAACTGAAAATATTTTTTTCATAAAATTCAACAGACAATAACGCTAACTGTTCGATCAATCGATGGCGAATGTTTCCTTGTAAGGAAACGGCTAATCTCAACATTTACCATCTGTACCAATTGGTGACTTTCGTCAAAGAGAAAATGAATATCAAACCGATCACCTCATCCAGGCGAAAAGATTGCACTCCATATCGTAGACGTAGCTGACCCAGAGGACCGCAGAGTACAATTGAAAGAGAGCAAATAATTGAGAAAAATAGTAGGATCTTGCTCGGGAACCACGAAAGTGCCTATAATAGTTTACACACACTATTGACAGAACAGTTTTATCGCTCTTTCAAGTTTTGAAGGCATAATAACCTCCGCTTCCGCTCTTGTCTCGTTGATCTGTCGTTTCCGGTCCCAGCGCTATGAAAAACGGAGTATTCTTGACGTCGTCACTTTTTGCCCAGTGGTCACCGAGATTTCTGGTGTAAAATTTTTATGGCCGTGGTAACTTTCTCCACTGAAAACCAATTTCAGTGCACAATTCAAACTCAGTTGATAACCAACAACGGATTTAATGGAAAAAAATATTCATACTACATAAAGAGTAAAGAATTATTAATCTTTCTGTGTAGCCTTGTTGACGATCTTTCAGCAAGAAGATTATTCTAATAGTATTTCATAATAATCTGAGATTTGTTCTAGTACTGTCTATCCGGACTTGTGTTTGTGGGTTCGTTAGTGATATAAACAGTAGCAGCAAGTGGGAGAACGCTTTATAAACAGACTTCGCCTATCTTGTCATCTCCTTTATATAGTCATGACCTACTTTTGCCAAGTAACATACCTTTTAAAATACCGTCAAGCCGAAACCCTGGTCTGGATTTTGGTAACAATGTTAAGTTAGTTTATATTACCACCTGCTATAATGGATGTTCCCATCCTAACCATTCATTTAATGCCTAATGCAAAGTTAATCTCGATTATATCATTATTCCCCACCCCTTCTTACAGGTGCTATCCATTTCATTAGGTTGAGTAAATTCCGTTTTGGGACCCAACTGTAATGATGCATGTATAAATCTAACTCCTACTAATAAATGATAGTTAATAAATTTGGATTACATTAACATACCTTAGGTTTTGCACAGCAGTGGCAGCGTACACGGTGGATTAAGTGAAACTATTGTTCTCTTCCAAGACAGCAAGAATAGCACGACGGGGACTTTTGGAACTTTGTATGTTCTAACCCAGTCGCCATATTCGCCTGGCCAATTATTCCCCTTTTCAATCGCTGCAGAACGCTTTGATGGTGAAAGCTTTCTCAAATTAAAGCCAAATTCAGAGTTCTTCGAAAAATATTTTCACACGAAAAGCTGAATTTTGCTCAAAATGTATCGAAATATGCTGCTTGATAAGTGGCAGGGTTATTCCAAATAATGGTGAATAAAATGCAATTGTACTTCATTTTTTGAAGAATAAAGTTGATTAACAGAAATGGAAATTATTTATGACTCAACTTGATTGTTGTTGGTAATGTTCGAAGTCTTCAAATGATGGGGTTGCTGTTACTTAAAAAAACAAAGGTGGGGGGAAGCACTAACCAGAAAATTGGGAATTTTTAAAACTAAGGTACGTTCGGGAAGGAGGCGATACAATCTTTGGGTCATTTTTCCTTCTTTCTCTCCTTTCCTACATTCGTTCTTCGGCTACATCCACCTATGGTTTAAATAGCAAATAGATTATTATTGTTATTACTACCACCTTATATGAGAAAGTTATAACAGGATTTTCTGGGACATGTGAAGAAACATGTGGAATGTAACACCCTTAACATAGCGTAAGCAAAAGAAGCAGGGGAAACTGCGAGTAAACCTACTTAACGTGTTTGAATTGATAGCAAAATAAGGACAAAGAATCTAGCTACTTAGAGTAACAGGGCAGGAAGTTCTGTAGAGCCATTAAAATGTACTGTTTTGTACAAAAAGAAAAACTTCATTGTCCTTTAAAAATTAACCCTTTCCATTTCTGTTATTTTGACTGGATTTTTTTTTAATAACCCAATATGATAGCAGTCTTTTGAACGAATGTACACGTGGAAATAGAATTTAACATGTACACAGAAGACGTCTGTTAGTTAGCTTGTGTCAATTAAACGAATTATTCTTTGAGGCGAAAGAAAGCTATATAAATAGAAGCTCGAGTCAAGATGACTGCGATCATTTCTTTTTCTTGCTTATATACCACCTTATCTCACCGATTTGCCTCACTACCAGTTTCCGGAGAACTAAAAACATACAAAAATACAGCACTGTCCACAATTGCTCAGTGTAAAAAGCTATCATTGCTGCTGCTGCTGCTGATACCGTTTTAAATGTATCGTATGTGTAAAGCCCATCAGAGTTAGCGAGACCCGTTTCACACACGACCCGACAGACATTTTGTGCCGCACGAAGCGCAACTTGGAGTAAGGAAAAGAAAAACGAAAGAATTTAAAAAGAAAAAAAAAAAAGAAAGAAACCATCCCTTCACCATAAACTGATAAAATAACGGGACGGTACATCGACACTCAAAACAACGTTTTTGAATTTAAGAATAATCACAAACTAAGATCGCCGAATGTCAGCGATGAAAGAAAGAAAGAGAAAAGAGATGTTTTCGTTTGCTTACCTGCTTGCTTTCGTCAAAAACCCTTGTTGATTTGGCAGTTAACAGTGCACGCTTTCAAAATCACACACACGCACACGTTTCTTATTTTTACTTCACATTACTTTTAAAAAGCTAATTTATTAAAAAGATAAAAAAAAACGTAAAGGTGTTTGTTAAGCTTCTTTCACATTGAAATGATTTGTCATTTATATTTCAAACAGTAACGATTTATCAAAACTGTTACTATAGTGTTTAATCGCTATATAAACCCTGATAAGAATTTTTATTATAGTCAACACAAATCACCAAGCGATCCGAAGCTGTTTATCGAATGAAACCAAAAGGAGTTTTTAAATCACCGTGGATTTTTTATTATAATCAAAAAGATAGTTATTTTTTTTTTTTTTAATTCTACAACTGGGCAAGTTCACCTTTTAAGAAAAGACATCAGAGGAAATATATATAAATTTTACAATAATAGACATAATAATATTGAACGAATTCTTAATTGTTGCACCTCAACAGTTACCCACTGAAGTAAGAAGCAGTAAACAAACTTGAAAAGTGTTACTTTCAACGCAAACAGGTAGGTATTTAAATAATTTAATTAACGTTTAACAATCTTTTACATTATATTTCACTTACGGAATATACATTTATTCTCCAGTATGATTCAACAACATACTTCTTCCACACCTGGAACTGATTCAACAAAAAGAGGCATTATTACGAGAAGCGCCTTCTCCACTGTTAACAACTGCAGAACAAGCAGTGCGACTACAAACCTGAATAACACTAACAATTATTCTTCAACGTCTGCCGTTGCAACTTCGATATTTCCAAACACAGAATGCAAACCGGACTGTCCGAATAGATCGGACATTTCCAGACCACTGCCCGCGTGGTTACGCTTCTATGTGTACGGACTTCACGGAGTATTTGATGAAGTTTTCTTCACGGCTCTCTACGATGTGTACCATGCTAAGAAAAGCAATCGCCAACTCCTCGGATATTCTACTTTATTTTCGTTCTTCATCTATGCCAGTTGCAGCTTCTTCGTCGAACGGCTATACATTCGACTCTATTATAAGTACGGTGTACCTGTATATATAAGGATTCCAATTTATCTTGTGGTGTTGTATACCTGGGAATTAACAAGTGGTTTACTCTTGCGACAGTTGGGGGCCTGTTCGTGGGATTATTCACATTATGATTATAACTTCATGGGACTTATCACATTGGAATATGCACCGGCCTGGTGTATCCTTTGTATCTTACAGGATATCATTTCTGATTTTTTGCTCACACTTCGATCTGTGAAGGCCAAAAGGAAAATGGAATGAAAGGTTTCGTTTTCTTTTCTTTTTTCTTTTTAAATTGAACATTAGAATAACAAATATTGCAGTGATTTTTATTGACATTTTCCCCTAAATACATTGTATTTGATTAACGGAAATCTGTTTTTCCTATTTATAAAAATTGAATGATTTTTATCTATGTACTTTTTATGAATTAAATTAATAGACTATTTATATTTAACATTTTCTTTTTTTAATTTTATATTTTTAGCTTTTTTTTTATTTGTTTTGATTTGATTTTTTGTTTTTAAGGGTTTGATTAGTTTAAGGATTTTTTTAAGGGGGTTTGATTTTATTTTAAGGGTTTGGTTTATTTTAAGGATTTGGGTTTGCTTTCTAGGGCTTTTATGTTATGACAACTTTGTGACTGAGTTCAGTCAGTTGTGTGCCATGCATGATACAACAGAGGCGATCATGTATCTTTCGATACATGACTGATAAGGAAGATTTTTCCCCGCAGTAGGTTGTCATTTCTTTCTGCGGTAGACCAGTTGCCATCCAAGGGTATAGAACCAGGTCTGTTCTGTTATTTACCCATAGCTTGGGTGAGGAAGAGGATTCATACCTTTCCCAAGCACGTAAGTGAATGTAATGGATTTGACTGGAATTTGAACTTGGCTCTCCGGATTCCTCAATCCAAGTCGCTCCACCGTGCCTTCACCCATTGAGTTAGGATGCGAAAACCTAATATGTTAATTAAAATGAATGTTCAGCCTTTATATTTTCTGACCTCGTCATGTTTTTACACCAATAGTAATATATTTTCACTAGAGATAAAAAGACCGCAAGTTTTCTCCAGCATTCTTCTTTTTACTCTGTTTTAAATAATTGCCGTCGTTTGAATTGTCCTGATTTTTCCCAATATTTCCAATTCCTCTATCCGTTTTCTTCAACCTTGCCAGAGAACCGAGCAGATTGTGGAATATGAAAGTAAGCACTGATTTTATTCAATTCTTGTACCAGAATTTTTTTTCGCATCTGGGTAACAATTCGAAGTAGACTAAATAATTATGGTCACAAGTTTCACATTGCCAATAGTAGAGATTGAAGAGTTCAGTGGAAGTTCGCGGTCCTATTTGTATTGTAGAAGCTTTTCATTGAAAAAAAAAAAAAAAAACTTGTAATGTTGCATATTAATGCCATTTTCAAATTTCGTTCGCGATGTGACTAGCGAATGATCTAACGGTTTAATTTACTCCAGCTGGTATAAAGGTTGTTACTTTTATATCGCAGTTTCTTTCTTTCTACAAAGGTATTCAGTAAATGAACGCCACACACAAACACGTGCACATGCGCAGAGATATCTAGATAACCTAGAAAGATATTTCGCAAATTAATAATACGAATTATTATTTTTGCAGGTTATTGAAATTTGATTGGTCCTGTGTGATATTTTTGTGCATCTTTGTAAGCTATTTGCATCAGTTAATTGTAGCCCAGTTTGGTCACACTTGAGCTTTATTTCATGTTTTTAATATAAACCTCAATTATTGAACTATTAAACTATGTTGTCATACTTATAACTTTATGCGTAATCAATATTCTCTCTCTCTTGTGTGTGTGTGTGTGTATATATATATATATATATATATATACACACACACACACACACACGGGAAGATGACCGAATATCGGAAATAGTGCGTTTATAATCTTGATTTTCATGCTTCAATGAAGATTATAAACCACATAAAGTTACCGCATGTAGTGTTGATTCTTATATTTATTCTATCATATATATATATATATATATATATATATATAATTTCTAAGATGAGTAATTATTTACATTTCTGACTGTCGTGCATCGGACTTTTATTGCCATATTCATGACATTTCGCCCTGTGACTGGAATTTCGAACTGAATTCTTTATTTCGTACACTGTGCTAGATTGGTCTAGTTCCACGTGCCATGCCTCTTCCGGATGTCCCACTTATCTGCATTTAACTCAACCCTCCAAGTTTTTGTTTACCATTGAACTCGCAACTCTTTGGGTCATGTCACTGGATCCAACCAATGCTTTTATCCACTAGGTCATGTGTCCTTGAGGACATTTTTGGGACTTAAAAATTTAATGTCTCTAAACATTTTTTTTTTTTTTTTTTTTTTTTTTTTACTATGGCTCGTATTGCAATTTTGTTATTACATTTCTATGATTGGCGGCTTAGATTTTTGTGGTGCTGATTCCTTAAGTTTTCACATTTTCCAATGATGTTCACTTTTTTTTATTTCAAACTCATTCCACAGGGGCGGTGGTTTCTCTTTTCCCGCCATGTGTCAGATTTTTCTATTTTCCCTCGTCTAACAGCTTTACGTTGTTCTTGAAGTCTTACCTTAAGAGGGCGGCCCGTTTCTCCTTTGTTTCTTACTACTAGTAGTAGTAGTAATAGCTGGCCACTCGTATTCGAGAATACCCGTCTACTAGAGCGGCTAGCCAATCCTTATTGTAGATGCTTGCTCAGGCGCATTTGTGTTCGTTCAACACTCAACTATGCTGAGCAGACCTTCTTTAGTTTCTGGGAAAGAGCGTGTTATCTAGCGTGATCAACAATTTGAACAAGGTCAGCACGCTCAACCCCTGACCTATGACTTGGTGCTAGCACAGCTATTGACGGCACTCAAGGGTTCCGTCTACCCATTTTCATTCACAAGGTTTGGGTCAACCCCTGGTATGGTTTTCAGGCACTTTCCAAAAGTGCCGCACGCTGGGATCGACCCCTCCGATAGCACCAGGAAGTCTCTTTACTGAGAAATCGACCATGGTGAGATTTGAACCCGGGGCTCATGGTCAGAATGCTAACGTTCTAACCACTCGACCATATATTTCTTACCTACAGTTGCACGGAATGACGTAAACACAGTCGTTAGTCCTGTTCTTCTCTATGGGGGTCTTGGCAAGTGGAAGTAGAACAATCTACTCCAGTGGACGAAATAAAGGGTTCAGTTAGAAATTCTAATCACCTAAAGAAGACCGGAGTGTACAACGGCCGAAACGTCGTGAATATGACAATGTCAATAATTACAATACCTCATCTCGGGAATATAGTCAGGAATTGAAGGATCGGTACGGACCCGATATACCGAAAATATAGACAATTAGAAAAGCCCCACCAGAAGCTTGCACGAATATCGAATCATCAAACATACCTACACCGATGCAGAGACTTACGACTCATCGCTTCACCAAGACTTCCTGTCAATTCAAGGAAAGCCCGTCTGGTCGCAGAAAAGCGAGACACCCTTGTCCGAGAAAAAATCCAGTGCAACCCTTGGATAAAACAGAAACAGCAATCTGATATCGCCCAGAGATCGTCCGCTGCTTACAACATAAGCAAAATAAGCAGTACTCTACAATGTAACTACCCTAGATACATGGCAGCAGCTACAACAAAATGGGATAGAACGATAACAGAAGATAACAACACTCGGAAAGCAGCTTCGGTCTGTCTACCCTATGTGAAGGGATTATCGGAGTAAATATGTGGTCTATATAACATCAGGACGACCTTCAAAAGTGGTTCGACACTTTGCAGTAATCTCCCTCAATAGAGAACAAAATTGCAATATGAGCTCTGGTTAAAAAAAAAAAAAAAAAAGAAAAATGGTTACTAAGACATTAAGTCTATAAATCACAAAAATTCATACATGCAGTGGTGAATAAAAAGTTAAAGGGAGACATCTGGAAGCAGAATGGCACGTGAAACGAGAACACGAGAATATATATATATATATATATAGATATATATATATATATATATATATATATATATATATATATATATATATATATATATATATATATATAATATGTGTGAAAAAGAAAGATTTGTCACTTAGCTAGTTGATGCTACCTTCAGCATCCCGACTCCAGAGTTTCTTCGTCTATTTGCCAAGCGGTATCAGCAATTGACTGCTTATAATTCTCTTATTTTATTTGTTTTTTTTTTTTTTTATATGCATTGGTGCATTTCTTTGTAGTGTATATGCAGCTGTGCGTACATGTAAAATGTCGTGATTATTTGCCCCCCCACTTTTTACCTCACACCTTTTCTTTTGCTTTTCTCTGTTTTTTTACTTTTTCTTTGTATTCTTGCCATTCTACTTCCGGTTTTTCTAGACTGGCTGTCGTTAATGTTTGAACGTTCTAGTCTTTGCTTAACTTCGAAAAATTGAATTTCTTTTTTTTTTACATAAATAATTTTAACGCTTAAAGTAAATATTTATATATGTCTTTACTTGGCCATTATTTCTTTTTATTGAATTTGTATGCATATATTCATACGCTTATATATATATATATATATAACGTTTGAAGTAATTTTTATATATATTATATATATATATATATATATATATATATATAAATTACTTCAAACGTTATTTTTAGTTGATACTCAAATTTCAATAAGAAGTATTTCGTATACCGGTGTGTACACCCAAGAAAATCAGCTAATCCAACGTGCTTAACCGTTAGGCTACGAAAAACCTCACAACCAAGTAAGCTTTTATTCATTTTTGAATTCTAGGCATGAATCCTGTTAAGATATTCTCGGGTGTAAACAAAATAAATTGTTTAACATGAAAATAAAAACAAAATCGAGCATTTACTCAAATACGGGTTTCCGCTAATATCCATCACTTTAGTGTCGGATTCAGTGTCCATGCGCGTGTAAACTTAGTAATTA